TATTCTGATTGCTGCGTTTTTTCTGTTTAGCAAAATAAAAGGACTTACATAGTAGCCTCTATAGATTGGGGTAACAGGGTGGACATCGAGAACACTATTTTAGATTTGTTTCAAGTCACATCATTTCACAGTGATTCTAACTCAGAACATCCTTGGAGATAAACAAATGTTATTCTCCTCTTCTAGCTTTGCAGTTCCCCAAAGTGTACTAGAAAAAAATCTGCCTCTTTTGTTAGTTAAGCAAAGCTGAGCCCATATTCATGGAAGATATTGGACCATAACCTGTATTTTAGTAATTTGGTGAAAAAGGAATGTTGTCACAGTGGCTCTGCTCTCAGGAAATTGTCCAACCTCAGAACCTCCCAGGTTGTATGGCAACTGAGTGAGGGTATGTGACTTCTTAGGCAAACCTCATCCTGAGATTTGGTCAGGGAATTGGATTTGTGAGTCTTTTGTTCTTTCTCTACCTTTATTCTGCCATTTAGAAAATTAAAGTTATTAAATTTCCATTTTGATTCCTCGTTGTTCCAGGGAATTTTTAAAAGGAAATTTTATATTAAATTCCCCAAGTGTCATTTAAAAAAAAACTTACCTTTCTTGTGTTTTAGGTTGTTTTAGATTCTAATCAGAGAATGAAGTACCTTTGCAACTAGATGTTCCAGTGACGTAGAAAATGATGTGTAATCTCCGTATAGTCACAACACTGAGCTTGTTGATTATCTCCTTCAAATCCCTAGTATGTTTTGTTTAGCTTACTTGACCTGTCAGATTATGAAAGAATTAAAGTTTTCCTCTGTGATCAGATTTTGTCATGTTCTCTTTGTATTTCTAGAAGTTTTAACTTTTGGTATTTAACTCTTACATTGGTTGTCCAAAAAAATTTTTATTATTTTTTGAGACAGTTTCACTCTGTCATCCAGGCTGGAGTGCCGTGGAGCAATCTCAGCTTATTGTATCCTCCACGTTCCCGGTTCAAACGATTCTTGACTCTCAGCCTCCTGAGTAGCTGGGACTACAGTTGTGTGCCACCACACAGCTAATGTTTTCTGTTTGTTTGTGTGTTTGTTTGTTTGTATTTTCGTAGAGACAGTGTTTCATCATGTTGGGCAGGCTGGTCTGGAACTCCTGGCCTCAAGTGATCCACCCACCTTGGTCTCCCAAAGTGCTGAGATTACAGGCATGAGCCACCGTGCCTGGCCCCAAACATTTTTATTTAAAGGAATGCAATTTGAATTGAGTAAATGGAAAGAGATATACTGTTTAACTGAATGACTGTCATATAAATGACCGTCCTTCCCAACCCAAATTATATATAAATTTAATGTCATTCTGATCAGAAGCCTGATATTTTTTTCTTGGGTAGGGGAACAGGGTTGGGAGACTAGTTCAGACGTTATATGTAAGAATAAGTTGGTAAGATTTACCTAAAAAATCTTAAAAGAGTAGTTGGGGGTGGGGAGCTTTTTAAAATCATGCGTTAAAATTACCATAATGCTACAGTAATAAAAATAGTGTGATACAAAAAAATACAGAATTAAGTCAGTTGAATGAAATAGAAGAGAGTCTAGCATTGTAAGAAATTAATATAAGATAAAGGCTGAATTTCATTCACTGGTAAAAGGGATGTTTACTTGATAAATTATTTTAATATAATTGGCTATTTCAAAGAGAACAAAATTAGGGTGAAAGAGCTAAGTGGAAAATACAATTAATAATATTAGAAGAAATTTTAGGAGACGATAGTTTTGAGGTGTGGAAGACCTTCAGAGACAAGACAGGAAGTGCAGAAGAAATAAAGGAAAATATCAACATATTTAAATATGTAAAAGTTTAAAAATTCTTTCTGATAGCATACACCACAAATGTATCAGAATACTTTGTCACACATGTGTGTTAACTTAAAATAATAAAAAATATCAGAATCTAAAGAGCATTAATTCAAGCACAAAGTGTGAGGGTGGACCACTCAGGAACACCAACTCCAAAGGAATGAAGTCAGCCTTTGGAATCAGGGAAGTTTAGGTTTCATTTATATAGGCAGAGACAGAAATTTTTAGCAGGAATACAACATTATTCATACAGGTGGCACATAGTCACAGCAGTTTGATGGGTTATAGGTGGTATTTCTTTTGGGGAAGGGTACATTTAACTTTTTTTTTTTTTTTTTTTAACAGAAAGTATAATAATGATGGATTTTCTATAGTCTGATCTAAGCAAAGTAAAGCAACACAGGGAAAGTTAATCTATAACAGGTTATTAACTACGAAGGCAGGCTCACACCTGTAGTCTCAGCTACTCTGGAGGCTGAGGCAGGAGGATTGCTGAATCCCATGAGTTTGAGGCTGCAGTGACCAACGATTGTGCCACTCTACCCTAGCTTGGATGACAGAGTGAGACCTGGTCTCTGGAAAAAAAAAAAAAAAAAAAGGAAGTTTTGGTGCCTGGCATTGTTTAATTCTCTAGTCATTGTACTGAACAAGAAAAATGAGAAAGCAAGTTAATCTATAATCTAAGAACGGAAGTTGTAACCATGTGTGACTCAGATCACAGTCACATCTCCCTCAAGGCTTAAAGTGGTTGTTTTTTTGGACAGCTTTTAAATGTTATTTTCACATTTGACAGTCAAAGATTTGATAACCTTAATTTTTAAGTAGGGAAATAGACAGTCTAATAGAAAAATAGTCAAGAATGTAAATAAGCAGTTCACGGAAGAGAAAATGCATGTTGCAAAACAAAGTACTAAAATGATGCTCCATACAAGTAAGCAGTGTGAAAAGGGTTTTCACCTATCTAAGGACAAAAGTTGAAAAGCACATGAGGTGTTCCACGAGGGGTGGAGAAACGACCTCCTGCATCCTCTGTGACGAGGGTGCGGACTGCTGCAGTGCTTCCGGGCACAGCTCACATCCTTTGACTCACGTGTCTCACAGTTAGGTCCCTCCTGCCGAAACAAACACGCCAGTATTTACATGTACGAGGAAGTTTGACCTTTTTTTATTATAGCAAGAAATTGAAAAATGTTTCTATGTCCAGTAATATGGAATGAGCTAAATAAATATATTTGTATTATACAGTATTTGCCATCTATAAAAATAATCCCTCTAAGGTTATTACATATATTGATTAGGAATAATCTTTATGCTAGAATAATTAGAAAAGGAACAAATTTCAGATATTAATATGATCACATAGAAAATATATGTTTGTGTGGTTAGAGAGAGAGATTTGGAAGAATAGACATGTACTAAAATGTTCTTAGGTGAATAGGATTGGGAGAGGGCAGCAAGAGAAAAATCACGTTTTTCCCTATAAACTTCTATGATTTTTTGTCTTGTTAGAGTAAGTTCAAAACATTAAAATGTATTTATGTGTTTTTTAAATGCTTAACTCTGTCTTAACCTTTCTAATGTCTAATCACTTGTGATGAAGCCTGGGCCTAGCCTGTGTGCTTCTCTTTTGAAGAAGATGTGGTGCACCTTTCAGGAGAGAACCCTGGCCTTTACTTCCTGGTCTGTACTGCTTTCTAAGCTCCTCTATCTGATGCTCTTATTTCAGTGATCCGTCACTTCAGCCACTTTCTGGCCAATGTTCTCAGTTTCTTTGCTTCTTTATATTTCATTTGTACTTTCTAGGCTGATAATCAGTAGGCAAAAATCACACAGTCTTATGATTAGTGACCCTATAGATGTGTGTTCTGCAGCCTCAATTGTTCCCTTAAGATATCCCAGCAGCACTTGTTTTCCCCAGTTACCCCTTTCCTGAAATGTGAGTGGTATTTCAGACATTTGTCTTTCCTCAAACCTTTAATGCTGCCGTTGTTTCTCTCTAGCAGCAAGTGGCTGTGTCTTCTGCTCTGTGGAGAACATGGAAACTCCACAAAGTACTTGCCACTGAATATGCAATCTTCCTCCTCTTTTGCCAAGGCAAACAGGCCACCTGTGCTGGGTCCCAGCCCTACCTGTCTCCTTCTGGATACTCCCTACGTGAATTATCCCTGCTGGCCATTGCATCTCTTCCTCTTTTCCTCATTCATACATCACAAGAGTAAATACAGGGCCTTTGATGCCTATACCATCTGGTTCTTTGTATGCTCTCTGACCTCTATGTGGTATACCTATACTTAAAGAAAAAGAAGGAAGAATATTTGGGTAGAATAATGAGAAAGCAGCATGAGCTAAAACGAGTAAGAAGACCTCAAGAGTAAAGATGCAGAACATGATGAAATAAACCTAAACCTTATGTCCCCTACCCAGACTTCGGGTACAGTAGGGAACATATTTCACTCTTAGCTGAGCAAATGAAGGTTAATTGTTAGAACTATCAGATTATACCATTTTATTTTTTTACCTAGAGTTATAATCCTGATTGTCATACTTTGATATTTGTGTTCTATTCCAGTTTTTGAAAACAAATGAAACATAAAACTTTATCTATAAACTGGTGTTCTGTATTCTGCAGAAAAGTAGCTTGGGGATGGGATTTGGGAAATATGAAATTAAATATTTAATGTGTGGAAGTGCCTTGTGAATTTCTAGGAGCAAGTAGGCAGTGTGGGGTTTTCCATTCTCATGACCATGGATCCCTTTCCTTGCACATCTTTCTCACCCTTTTTCCTAACGTATGTCATTTGTCCCAAGGAAAGCAGTTTGAGAAATGTTGAAGGACGTAAATATGAGGTACTAAAGAAAATAAACAGAAAAATCAGGTTGCATGATGTACAGTAATATGACTAGAAAGAATTTTTTATTCCCTTTCAGTTTGTGTGCTTTTCTGAGTCTATACATTTTGAAGTTAGCAAATGATTTTTTAAAAATGAAAAAATATTATTTTGACTAATGAAACTTTGGAGGAAATAAACTATTTTGTAAATAAGCATAGGAGAGTTCTAGTATGACTAAAATCTTTTATAATACCAGAGGTTATGATCTTATGTGTTTTAAGGTTTTTCTTAGGATTGACCTGAATTTTTGTTATTTGAGTTATGTTTTCTTCTTTTTCAGTGGCAGCCGATTAGGAGGCCTGGTTACAGTGTTGTGCTTCTTTTTCAATCATGGAGAGGTAGGTAATCAAAAACTGTTCTCAGAATTACTCCTGGCAATGCAGTTTTCTTCTTTAAATTTAATCTATAATGGCATTCTTTAAATGTTTGATATTATTTTGATTCAAAATTTAAACACTAGCATTCATTTAAGTTAACTTTTCATGACCATTATACTTCTTATGTGATATAAGACTTAGTAATTTGATGAAATAGTGGGTCTGTATCAACTGTACCAATTCTTTTTTTTTTTTTTTTTTGAGACAGAGTTTCTTTTTGTTGCCCAGTCAGGAGTGCAGTGGTAGATCATAGCTCACTGCAGCCTCAAACTCCTGGGGTCAGGTGATCCTCCTGCCTCAGAATCAGCTTCCAGAGTAGGTGGGACTACAGGAGCTCATCACCACACTCTTAAAATTTTTTAAAAATTTTTTATAGAGATGCAATCTTTCTTTGTTGCCCAGGCTGGTCTCTAATTCCTGGCCTCAAGCAGTCCTCCTGCCTTGGTCTCCCAAAGTGTTGGGATTACAGGTGTAAGCCACCTCACCTACCCTCAAGTATCAATTGTTTGTATAATTTTAAAACTATGAAAGCTAATGTTTTAGTTATAATAGAAGTAGGCGGTAATCGATACCACTTTCTTTTGTAGGGATAACTTTTTGTTGCAGGAGCTACACAGTATATTCTTATTTTAATGTATTAACATTTGATACTCTTTTAAGTACTTTTTGCAAAATATTTGAGTGTTTAAGGGCTTTCTAAAGAGAACAGTATTGTAAAAAATATAGACTCTGGATCCAGGTTGCCTGGGTTCAAATCCTAACTGCTATTTAGTGGCTCTGTGACTTGAGCAAGTCATTTAATCTCTCTTTGCCTTAGTTTCCTCTTTGTAAATGAGCATAATGATGTTACCCACCTCGTAGGATTATTGCAGAGACTAAGTAAATTCATATGTGTAAATACCTAGAACAATGTTTGGCACATGGTAGCTGCTATGTAATTGTTAGCTTGTGTTATTACTGTTATTGACTAATTAGCTTAGTTTAAATTCTAATATAAATTCAGAGTGTCACGTTTCTAGATTAATCATAGTTGTAAATGAATTTCTAATACATCTCTGTGTAGATTTCTTTCATGATAAATTTTTGTATGAGGGAGAAAAGAATAAAGGTCAGCTTGCTTTGTGTGAAGTGACTTTGTCCTTCCATGCATTTTATACACTCAGTGCCTGCTGTATTTGAATATACATGTTTTAACATGTGCTATAAGAGTAATCATCTCCAAACATAATGCAGAGTCAATGCTGGACTTCTTTTAGTCAGCGAGTTACTAATGGATACTTAGCTAATACGTTCTTAGTATTTAGAATCACAGAAATGTAAAGCTAGAGTATTTGACAACTGGTTGCAACATGACATCAGTTAATTGGTATAGTATGTGTTTCAAAAAAAAAAGTTTTGGTTTTTCCTGACTCTGGATCCTGCACATTGTAATAGTGTGGGCCATGAAGCACTTTGAACCACAGATTCTGTGAGAATGACCTAAGAAATGGGGAAATAACCTTTTAATAATGGAAGAAAGAAGCATTGTGTGTTAACAATGAGGTGTCAGAGGAGAGGTTATTCAAAATTTTGGAACCAGGAAGACCACTGTATGTAAAGCGCAAAGGTCTATCGTGCTACCCTCAGTGTATACCATGGTTTTTAATTCTTGGTCTTATGTTTTCTTATAATTTTGAATCTCATGTGGCTTGAACAACATTCCTTACAAAGTTTTCTTAAATTTTAACAATGGGATTCAGACTATTCAGTTGGCTTTTCAGGCTGATGAATTGTCTTTTTGATACTTTTCAGCTACTTGGTATAGCTGAAAAGCATGCTTAGACATCACTTTTTTAGGAAAAGGTAAACTGAATATCATTAGAATTAGAATTTCAGTTTTACTGAAATAAGTAGATAATTTTACTTACATGTAAAATTACTTGTGAAAATACAGGTAATGTCATTAAAATTGAGAACATAAACTGCAGTTTTGGGTAAAATATTGGTGAAAACTCAACATATTTTGGTTTTAGGTAATGAGATTTTCAGACCCTATTTTTTTCTGATTTTTAAGCATATACTTTTTCTATGGACAGAAATATTTATTCTGGTAGTACCTATTTATGTATTTAGTGAGCTTTTATAGAGCATTGCTCTCTGGAAATGCTAGTGGGTTACTAATTGGTACCTTACTTTCTTAGGAGAGTTACTTTGGTCACATGAGTGACTGGTTTATATTGCAAAAAATAGTTCTGAATTGTTACTTGCATTTAAGTTCTATTTCCATTATTTAGTTTGCTCTGTACTAGATGCTAAGATAGCATAGGTATACTTTTTTAAAATTTTCTTTTTCCTCTTGTGGTTTTATAAGGGAAACATTTTGCCTGAACAAAGCAGTTATAAAATGTGTAGCATGAATAGCTTAATCGACTATTAAATAAATAATTTAAAACACATTTAAAACCTTCAAATCTGAAACTTGTAAAATGCAACAAAAGGTCTTATAATAATGATCAGTAATGTTGAGGTTATACATTTTATATTAAAAACCGTGCAGATACTTTCATTGATCAAGCTTCTTTAGTAAATTTCATTCTGTTGCAACTGAGAATTTTTGCAAAGAAGAAAGCTAGCAATTTCATTTTGCCTTTAAAATGTTTTCTTTTACAGTATGCACACAACATGTGTTGATGGTGCAAGGTTTTGGCCTGCTGATTGGAAAGCACGTGAATGTGTATTAAGGAAAACCTGAATACAGTATTTTTCTCCAATTATTTGATTGTTAGAAATTCTTTTTTTGTGAAATAGGATTGTTTAGCTTTTTCATAAGATTAAAAAAATTATTGTGAAGCATGATTGATGCTGTTTCATGTAAAACATGTTCACATATATAAAGATGTACACATATGAAGAGGAAATTCCTTACTTTGTATTTTTTAAAAATAAATACTTTTTAAAAAAGTAATTCAAAGTAAATGAAAGGATTGCCCCCAAAAGTACTTCAAAGTAGATGAATGCATTGCCTCCAAAAGTAATTGAAAGTGAATGAAAGGATTGCTTTGAGGTTCATCTCTAGTTAAATCATTTTTATGGCCTACAACATATTTCTGACCCGTATTTCTTAAATATTTTTGCACGGAACTGAGACTAAACTATAAACATACATGTTCCTAATTACTCATTGACATAGTTATGCCATTTATATAAGATTTGGAAAAGAATTCTTAGAACACTTTGAAAACAGTCTCATTAATCCTTATTCTTATATGGTAGATATATAGTAGGTATCCCAATATCATAAAAATGGAAGCACTGAAACATTAAGTGATTGGCTCAAGGTTACCCAGCGGGGAGATGATTTTATTTATTTGTATTTTAAAAAATTATTTGTTTTAACTTACAAATAATTGTAGATATTAATGGGGTACAATGTGATGTTTCGATTTATGTATACATTGTAGAAAGAGTCAGTCAAGCAAGTTAACGTATCTATTCCCTCACCAAGTTAGCATTTTTTGAGGTGAGGATGCTAAAAATCTCTTAGCAATTTCAAAATATGCAATACATTAACTGTAGTCACCAAGTGGAGCAGTAGGTCATTAAAACTTACTCCTCCTGCCCAACTAAAACTTCATATCCTTGGATCATATCCCCATAACCCCTCTCTCCCCTGAGCCTCTGGTAACTACTTTTCTGTTCTCTGTTTCTGTGAGAATGACTTTTAGATTCCATGTATAATTGATATCATACAGTATTTGACTTCCTGTGCTTGGTTTATTTCACTGAGCATAGTATCTTTCAGTTCCATTCATAGTGTCTCAAATGACATAATTTCCTTCTTTTTTTAAGGTTCTGTCACATTCCATTGTGTATGTATAGCACATTTTCCTGATTCATTAATCTCTTTATGGAAACTTAGGATTGCTTGGCTATTGTGAATAATGCTGAAATGAACATGGGAGTGCAGATATCTCTGATGTACTGATTTCAGTTCCTTTGGATATGTACTCTGAAGTGGGATTGCCAATTCTATTTTTAGTGTTTTTGAGGAAACTTACATGGTTTTCTAAAATGGCTGTATGAATTTACATTCCTACCAATAGTGTGCAAGAGTTCCCTTTTTTCCACATCCTCTCCAACACTTATCATTTGTCTTTTTTGATAATAGCCATTCTAACAGGTGTAGGTTGATATCTCATTTTGGTTTTAATATGAATTTCCCCTATGATTTGAGAAGCTGAGCATTTTTTTCCTATATCTGCTGGCCATTTGTATCTTTCCTTTTGAGAAATGACTTCAGATTCTTTGCCCGTTTTAAAAATGGAGTTGTTTTCTTGCTGTTATTTGAGTACCTTATATATTTTGAATATTGGCCCCTTATCAGAGGCATCGTTTGCAGTTATTTTCTCCCAGTCCTCGGGTTGACTCTACACTCTGTTCATTATTTCCTTTGTTGTGCAGAAGCATTTTAGTTTGACGCAATCCTATGTGGCTATTTTTGCCTTCCTTGCCGGTGCTTTTGCAGTCTTATCCAAGAAATCATTGCCCAGATCAATATTGTGCATCTTTTTGCAGAGAGAGGATTACAAGTTTCCTGATTCCCCATTAATCTCTCCAAACACGAAACTCTTCGGTAGGGGAGTAACATTTCAAAGAAGACATCACTCTAATTTATCTTTTACAAATGAATGGTGCAGAGACCTTTTCTTGCCAATTTGTGGACCTCTTATTTCATTTTTCTTTCATTCTTTCTTCCCTTCTTTCCAGTGTTGGTAAGGTTTTGGCCTGCTGTACACCAGATACTTTTTGATGCTTGAGATGTATAAGTAAAACAAAGACTCCTATCCTTGTGGATAATCATGTGAATGATGTGGGATAATCTTCTGCCTTAAAGCAGGAGAATAACTGGCTTATTTGGGCAGTAGCAAGGAGGAGCAGAGAGTGATAGCAGATAAGGTTAGGCAGTTAATAATTGGAGGTAG